CACACGCACTCACACATGCGCACAGACACCCCCACCCCCACCCCCCGCTTTTATAGTGTGTGGAAGCATGAGGACTAAACCAAGAATCAAAAAATACCCTCCATCCACCGTAATCCAAAGTATCATTTTTCTGCAGTTGACTAGTTGTCATCTATTTTCAGTTTTGGGTTTATTACATCGTCCTTTTTTCTCCTTGCAATTGGCACATATTTAGGCACTTAGAAGATAAATTAGATGTCCAACTTGAACAGGAAACAGTAGATCTGAGAAAAAACAAACAGCTGTTTACAGGAGTCATAGTTTAGCATTTCAGATTTAGTAACTTGTTGAATTTTTGTAAATGGTGATATGAAAACTGCTCAAGTTTTAGAGGTGACTAAGAAAGATTGTCGTGCATAGTACTAGTTAGTTATTGTAACCTTTCATTGCTTAAATTAGCATTAAAGGTTTTTTCTTTTCATGTTTTAAGTAAGCATCTTGATCCTATGACCTTCAGGGTTAAGGTTTTAGACATACAGTACTCTAGACAGAAAGACATTTAAATGGTGAATGGTTCAAATACAACTTGAGCTGTAAAAAAGGGTACCAGAAATCTGTATGAGTAATGATGGGAGAAAGAGGAGGATTTGTTTACCTTATGCATGTTACACTCAGCACTTCTGTTTTGTAGGCCAAGAACACAATGTACATGATTATTTCCAGATCATATTGCAGACCCTTTTGAATATATAGTGGGGTATGCTTTCAAATGTTACAGGTTGGATGTTACCTGAGGTGGCATTTCAGCAGTCGAACATAATCCTCACAAGACATAAGTATTGATTGTCTGTATTAGCAGAGGTAGCTCTGACATAGCTGGCTGTGTGCTATATTGAGACTTCCTGAACTTTTCGACAAGAAAAATACAATGTTATTTTTGTTACTGACATGACACATCTGGAATTAAGCATATGTTGCAAAGTGTACCTTCAGTAATGAACATAATGGCTATCAATATTTGCTGCTGATGTATTTAAAACCTTAAATTAAACTGTGCCTACTAAAGGTCTCTTTTTGGAGGAAAACTGGAAAATTAGGGCTTTGTAACTATTTTTGCTAGAAGACTCGTGCTTGCATGTGTCTCAGGGTCTTCAGTTTTCCTTGGAAGTGATTTTTGATATCCAAAGTCCAGAGGTCATGTAAAGCATTTTTTTAATTTCACTTCCAGTATTTATTGGTTTGGAAACATGTTAAATCCATTCTTGTAAAACTTTTTATGGGGCCATGAGCTTTTATATTTAGATTTCTGGCTATTGCACTTATATTTGTTTTTTTGTTTGTTTTTGTAAACACTTAGCTTCCAGTTTAACTTAATGAAAAACCTTATGTAAATATTAAGAAATTGGCTTTGGGGTAATGGAAGAAAAAGATTGAATCTGAAAAAGCATTTATATAAAAACTAAAAATGTCAACAGAGTATGGTAGCAAACCTCACAGTCATTTATATGGATATAAAAACATTAACGGATCTGCTGCAAAATATGATAATGGTGGCTGTGTCCTCACTGTGTGGTTTCTTTGGGGATTCATACCATAGCATTCCAGTATGTGAATTAAACAAATATTGAGATAACAATTGACTGCTTATTTATTTTGTACTGTTAAGGCATGCAGCTAATAAAAAGATGCAGAAGCTGACGACTATATACATTGAGTTCTACAGCTATTGCCTAGGAACTGTTCCATGTGAAACATTTATCATTTTTGCCAGATCTGTAATGTATATAGTTGTACAGTCTTTCCTTAACATACTTTTTAAAGTTGTGTTCTACTTTTCATTAATCAATACTTGATATTAGTTCTTAGAGCTTTCTATGGCAAAAATAAAAAAGTTTAATTCTAAAGATGGATGTAGCATATTTCTTTTTAATGACAACTTCAACTTCTACAGTCTAACATGTTAGATGATTACCAACAGTTTGTAGCTTCCTTTTCCAGGTCTTTGGGAATAGCAGGGAACCCTGTGGGGTCAGGGAGGTGTTTTTATTTGGGGCTTAGGTTTTTTTGGTGTTTTTGTTTGTTTGTTTGTTGGGTTTTTTTTTGTTTGTTTGTTTGGTTTTTTTTTTTGTTTGTTTGAGCATTTCCAAGAAAGCAAATTAGCTGAAAAACTCAACTGTGTATTATGACCTGAATGTTGTGATAGACGCTTACTCTCAGAATAGGCGGAGCTGCTGTGGAACAGTCTGTCCAACTACTACCCTTCCATCATTGCAAATGAGCTGGAAATCAAGAAAAACATACATAGTGACCCATGCAATGCATTTCAGCTAGCTTACGGCTAGGGCTCCTCTTACCAGGTTGCTGACTAGTTATGATTTGGAAGAGTTAGGTTGTTGGTGAACCATGGCTAACTTGGAGAAAATTAGTTACTTTATGTAGACTTCTTATTACAGGTAAGGAATGCAATTTAATAAGTAACATACCAAATGATGTTTTAGGTGCTTTTATCTCCTTGGCATAGGGCTTCCACCTACTTCTGCTAACATCAAAGAGCAGCTGACGTCATCAGGACAGAATTAGGCCCAAAGTAATACAGCAAACATGAAAGTAAGTAAAGGAGACACACTGCATTGGCTGGATTATTCGCCTCTGTGTTAAGCAAAAAATCAGCATTAATGACTTTACAGGGACTGAAGTCAGGGCACCCTGTTACATGGGTGGAACTGCAGAATTATGAAGTGTAGGGGCATCCGGAGCTTTTAAAACAACTTAAAAAAAGGTGTCTCTGGCTAATCCTGGTAGAAACACCAGTTTCCAATACAGCAAATGCAGTTTTTTGGGGTTCGTTTTTTGTGTTTGGGTTTTTTTTAAATGCATGATGCTATTATACTGGAATTCCTCAACTAACATTAAAGATGCTTGTAAAACAGGAAAGTTGCTAAAATGTAAAATGCAATTTATAAATGTTTACAAAAGTCACACAATTTTATTTAACTTTGGTAAAGTAATAAAAGGGTACATATGAGTCACAATCTTGACATTCTCATAAGAAATGATGAATATACAGTGCAGAATGTTGCATTTACATTAAACGCTTAGTTTTACTCAAGCAGAAGGAAATGGGTAATCAACAGAAAATCCCACCAGTTATTTTTTAAATGTGAAAATGGACTTGTCCTTTTATAGTGAATTTAAAGCAGCAATGTAATTTCTCTTAAATATTCCTTAGGAAAAAAAAGAGAATTTGGATATTTCCTAAGTTTAGTATTTGTCAGCTCAAAATGAATGACATAGTCATTTCCTAATTGTTTCTCTGCCACTAAGTTATGTTCCCCTCATGAGTTTTAGTCCTGTCCTGTAGTGTCCCCTAGTCCTTCTAGCCCTATTTAGTTGACAGGCACAAATGGTTGAGTGTGTGTGTCAGAAGTGGAACAGGACTGTTAGCTTTTATTTCAAAGATGGAGCAGTAAAATATTTTCTGATACTAAATTAATGTGCCCTTCCGATTCTAGTTTCGTGGGGAGTTTTAGCAGGAGAAGTACTGTCTATTTTGAAATTACCCATAGTCTCTTTATCAAGATTTAATTCAGGAAAATGTAATATAAAATGGATGGCACCCTAGTATGTAAGTTTATTTCCACTTAATTTACATACACTACTGCTTTAAATCCCATGAGTTGTATTCCTTTCTCCAGCCATTTATTTTTCTTTGTTACTGGAGAAAAGTTATGCTTGCTTCTGGATAAACAGTGTCATCCTTCAGCTTATTAATATACTGAGTAGTATTTGACAGTGGAAATGATAAGGTTAACACATAGCCTAGCCTAAAGGCTTTGCAAATGCATAGGACTAAAACCAGCATTATAAAGTGTGGGTGTACTTCGAAACGTGAGATCAGAGACTTCAGTGTTTGTTTTCCATGTTGACAGTATTTCTTTTAATCTAAAAAAAATCAAACCAAAACAAAAACAAGTAGAGAGATGCCACAGTTTAAAATCCAACGGGATTCCCGCCCCCCCCCCCCAGCATGTATTCCACTTTTAGATTCTGAAAGCCAGATTTAGCTTTTAGGTACCTTTTCGTCTGCATCACTTGAAAGTAAAGGTAGACAATTGAGGATTAAGGTCAACAATCTGATGCCAAGGAAATTAAATCTTTAGGAAATAAGGAGTAAAACGTCAATACCTTATTTTTATCCCTGAAGTAAGCAGTTGAGAACGCTCAGGTTGAGCAGCTCAGATCTGAACTTTGTCATCTGAAATCACTTCCTGGAGTAGAACCACACTTTACAGGACAGTGTGTCACGTAACAAAGCTGACCTTCTCTTTTTATGCAGGATGCATGCAAAATCTGTTGGAATCTAGATCAATCAGCACAGTCATCGGCTGAAGACTAAATGAAAGTCACAATAATAATTGCAAATTCTTATCAGTTCCATCCTATATTACAAGGTGTTGAATTTTATCCATGTGAGACTTACATCTTGGAGAACTAGTAGTGGATATTCCTTATGTGCAGCCCATAATACAGTTACTAAAACAGTGCTTATTCAGGGTGCTGATTCAGTCCATTAAAAAAGTTTAAAGTACAAGCTTAAAAAAAAGTATCCCAACCAAACAGAAAGGAAGAAAAAAAATGTTTTCACTGCACTGTTTTAGTGACTTGTGGACAGTTTCTGATGCTCTTTATAGGAATACAAAGAAGATTTAGTCAGTGCAATCACCCAAACTGTTTGACTTCAGCATTACTTACACAGAATTCAGAGAGAGACAAGTCCATTTCACCTTCCACCTCAAGAAGCATCCTGAAATAAAAACAGCTTGCCTATTAAAGCTTTTCCCCTCAAAAAAGCAATATTCCGATTGTTTTGCTGGACATACATGAAAAATATCCTTTGACGTTTTCATTAATGCTAAAGTTTGAGACACTGTTGTGGTTCCCTCCAAGATTTTTCCAGTGCGTAGGCTGTAACCAACCAACAAGTGACACGAGCTAGGTTCTGCAGCCCGAAAGAATCCCAAGGCCAAACAAAACAAGCATCAAGTCGAGGTGTCTGCAAGCACCCTCACCTTAAAGAGACTGATACTCTCCTGCAACTATCGATCTTGGCTACCCTTACTTCAGCTTGGCACAAGATGGAGTAAGGCAGACCAGAATCTACCATCTGTGTTGTATCGCTTTATTAAAAACCAAGGACTGCATGAACCTCGCAGTAAAACAAGGAGGCTGGAATTTAGGTCATGTGCTACTCACTGACACTGCAAAACATCAGCAGTATGTCCCCTTCCTCATACTCCATTGTTAAACCTCTGAAATAAGTCTCGCAAGAAAGAACAGTCCAATCTAGTATTTGTATTTGCAATTATCTTCTGTATCTATCCTCCTGCTCCCTCCCACAGTAAAATATAAATACAAAATGTTCACAATTATTTCAATGGCAAATATTTTTTTCTTCTTTCCCACATTCTTTACGGTGTATAAGGTGGTGGCTTTTCAAAAGGTGGAAAATACGGTGGCGAGTAACGAGGCGGCGCATTAGACGACCACATATAGCTGGGAGACGGCGACACTGACTGGGGGTCATCGGAGAGGCCAGAGGGAGTGGAGGCTGGAAACATGCTGGAATGCTGCAGGGAGACAGCAAGAAGGCTGTAATGTAACCACTTCTTAATGTAAAGGAACCTGGGAAATTGATACTTCATTACCAAGTGGTGCAAGATTAGCATTTCAAGGTTCACTTCTGCCAGACATATGTACATACAAATAAGTACTCAAATAACTTGTTGCATTCAAGGTAAGCACAGCCTGTGAGTAACAGTTTTGCATAATGAGACTCCTTAGGCCTAAAACTGAAGAAGGCATTTAAAAAAAAAAACCAAACAACTCTCTCATCACTTCTGTGTACCTACTGCACAGAGGCCAGACAGCTGAAAACTGATGAGTCTCTCTCACATCTTGGGTTTTGCACATCAGCCAGTAGTAATAATTAACAGGCTGCAGATAATTTGTTTTTACACTACTTTTTCTCTTCATCACAAATAAAAAGCATCCAGAAACTAATGATAACAAAATAATTTATTCCTTCAGTAAGTAAAAAGCTTGAAAAAGTGGAGAAACAAAATTTGTGCATGCCTGAAGATTAATTTCTGCTCTCCAAAATACCTTCCTTATCAAAAATACCTTAGGTCTAAAGCCTGAAGTCATACAGCGCTGGCACTGTCAGAGACCTGCGCACAGGCTGCGTCCTGTCCAGAAACAGGCCAGAAAAGTAGGCAATGAAATAACAGTCGCTTGCGTTCGCTCCTCTGGCCGCTAACACACCGTGGTTTTATCCCCGACGGTCACGCTGAGCCCCGCGCTGCCCACCCGCAGACCCAGCGGTGTTGGAGGGCGCTCGGCCGCACCGCCGGCACCACGCACCCCTGCGCCGTCCCTGGGCTGCGGGCACGGACTGCGAATCCCAGACGTGCCCGGCTTAAGGCCCCAGCAGAGACGGAAGCGCGAGGAGGATCGGCGCTGTGCTGCAAAAGGGGTGCGGGAGTGCGCGGCGAGGGTCCCGCACCAGGGGCAGCGAGGCCGAGCCGTGCGCAGTGGGGACAACGTACGAGGTCGGAGGCGACCACGTAGTTTTACCTCGGTGGGTGGAGGGATGACGGACTCCGCAGTAATAGCTGGTTGTTTTCAAACAGCGCCTTTTTTCTGTCGCTCCCATAACGCCAACCGGTGATGGTTTATTAAGCGGATACACAGACCACGAAAGCCCAGCCTGCTCATCGAGGACCTCGCAGAAAGCCACACAAACCGTTCCCGTTTCGAACAACAGAACAGCTCTTCCATCGCGCCCCAGTTCACCTAAAGCCCAACGGGCGGCAGCCCCCCGGACCGCAAGGACATTTGGAAGGGCACGGCCGTGGTGACACGGCGCCGGCACTCGTTAGCAAACGCGGCCCTGGGTTTTCACGGTTAAAAAACGCCTGCGCCCGGCTGCCTCAGCCGCACGTCCTGGAGGAGAGCTGCTGTGGCTGCAGGCAGCAGCTGGGCTTTGTTAACGAAGCCGGCGGCTGGGAAGATGGCACTAATTCCGCTTTCGACAGGATGAAAGGCAGAGAAGGCCAACGCTCGCCCGTGTTCTCTCGTCAGAGCCAAACGTGGCTCAGGGCCTGCAGAAGTCAAAATGCTGCAGGACTGAGACTTTCTCACCCAATTGCCCCCAACCAAGCACACGGAGCGAGGAGTAAGATACCAGCACTACTTCTACCAGGGCCCTTTCCTCCTGCCCGGTTCCCGTCATGGCCGCCTGCAAAGGCCTGCTGCCTTCCTCACCGTGACCAGCTGGCTGGAGTGTCATTAGCCGTGGCACACGTGGTGCCCGCTGCAACACCCATCGACTTGTGCTCCCCCAAAAACCAGAGAGCTGGATCTACCATTTTGGAGTTGTGTGTGAAAGCCAGGCTCTTGCAGGGGCACAGGCTTCCTTAGAAATTCTGGAATGTTGGGGTTTTTTTTTTTCCCTGTGAAAGATGTGTGGGATGAGTGGGAGGCACTGACTCGGCAAATTCTTGCACCAGAGGGAGTGTAGCCTTCAAAAGGGATCTGAGAGGCAAGGCTGGGCTTGCTCCATGTGCTGTGGGATGGCAGGGGAGAAGGTGCCAGTGTGGTACAGACACTGCTCGGGTCAGAGTAGGGCTCAAGGCGAGAGTCTCCACAGCCAGAAGCCTCAGCTAATGCTTCATGCAGGACCTCAACTTCCCTGGAAAATAAGCAAGGCTCAGACTTGGAATTGCATCTGAGAGACTTGGCTATTTTAAATTTGGATTACCTCAATTTATTCCCAGCTTTTGTGCCGGCTCCTAAGCCGACACCTGTGCTCACAGCAGTGAGACAGAGAGAGACTTTCATCTCTCCGGCTGAGCTGTAAGCATTAGCAGAGCCCCAACAGTACTTCTAGTTGAAAAGCGGGGCAAATCCACCCATGCTGAGCTCTCTGCTGGTACTGTGGCTGCAGTATGGACAGACCCCGAGTTAAACAGCACTTAGCACCAGCCGAGCGGCTGAGAAGAGGACTTCACAGCAGAGCTTGGTTTGGTATGCGCTGAGGTTGGCATTTTTGTAACCGTAAAGAGTTGCACAACACTAGTGACTGTTCCAGGTTGCATTACTCTCAAAAATGAGTCACAAATGTGTATAAGTAAGTCCTAGAAATTCTGATGTAAGTGTTCAAATACTTCTAGGAAGCCCTGACAGCAGTGTTGTCTAGTGGCACTAGCAGTAAAACAAGAAAAGTTTAGATTCATGTTATCTCTAATGCATGGCTCTGATGAGGGAGATGGTGGCTATCACAGAACACACATGTCCAAGACCTTAAGCTCTTGTTAATAAAAAAAGTCTCCATCCCTGATGGTTGCAAAGAAAACGTATCATGTATGAAGTTAACATCACCACTGTGGTAACATCCACCTGACAGAAGAGCTGAGGAGGAAATGTGCTCATCTGCTTCAACGAATCAAAGCTGATGTTGACAGCAAGGTTCACATGAAATCACCATTTCCAACAGCACAGCTCCATCACTCAGAAGAGGAAGGGATGCATTGCAGCAGCGGTGATGTTTGCAGGGACCATTCTTAGACCCACTTAAGCATGTGGAAAAAAACCACAACAGAATAGCTTTTCAGTCAGTATGTGTCTTCAGGAGCTCAAATAGCTTGTTTCCAAAAGCTCATCTGTTTCTCTCAGACATAGTAATTGGCCTAATAAAAAGTAGCAACTAAACACCTCGCTTTGCCTCTATGCTCAGTGCATTGCAGGTGCCAGAGGCAATGCCTCTTTTTTAATGTGGCCTCTACCAGTGAACAACAGGGGAGGCAGGCAGTAGGTTCTGTTGCCTTTTCTTCAAGGACAGCTTTCAGGAAAACACTGCCTTAGAAAGAGAGAGCACTGCCAAGGACCAATGCCTAGTATGAAAGATTTGGTATTGTCTGCAGGAACAGGAAAATTAAACTGTGTGAATGACATGCCTCCAGAGTCCTGCAGACCAGCTGGATTTAACCTTGCCGCTAAACAAGAAAGCGTCCTGTAATGTTCCCTACCTGAAAGTCGTATGCGGAGTAGGGAGGCAGGTGAGGAGTGCTGTGGTAGTAGGTGTTGTAAGATGTCACCTGCGGCCTTGAGTAGTAGGACACCGAAGGGTGTGCATTTTCAACCGTACAGTTCAGCGTAGGGAGGGAAGGAGTCTGTTAAAACAACAAAAAAAAGAGATCTCAGGCTACTAACAAGGTCACAGAAAGCTGACAGCTGAATGAAAGCAGAAGTGATTTAAAGGAGTCCTGTGTTTCTTTAGAGCTCAACTTTGTTGAATTAGCAACTGGCAATCTGGTTCCCTCTTAGGCAGCAGGTAAGTCCAGAGGTCATTTCATTCCTCAGCCACCTATTGTTTCCCCTTAGATTCCACAGAAGAAGCTGGCAATAGCCCAGTGCATGCCAGTACTCAAACAAAACAACTGTTCAGGTTGCACCTTCACAAGTAGGAGAAAGAATCCTTTAATTTTGATTACTCTGTTTTTTAGGGCATTTTGAGATCAGCATATTTCAATTCCTCTTGTACTGCTGTTCACAGACACTTCTATACATCTTTATTTGCAGAGGTTTACAGGCTGTCTGGTGTGCATCAAATTTCAAAAGGCCGCGATGCACAGCTGGGAATGTGTCTCCTGTTTTGTTTGCGAAGACCTTGGTGAGACTGCAAAGAGTGCAGGAAAGTTCAGAGTTCTGAAATAAGGCACCCTCAGTACAGGGCCCAAGAATTGTTTGTAAGAAAAATGTATTGCCAGGCCAACAAATCCTCTTTTCTGGGTGCCTCAGTTTGAGTTATTCTGAATGAGACACAACAGACTGAAAAAAACCCCAAATTTATCTGTTGAATGTTCAGTTCTCTCCACTGAATTGTCCCCTGCAGAACAAAACTGTGTGGAAGGTAACAGGCAGCCTGGTTAAGTGAGGGTATTTCAAAGCTCACGTTGTCAGAACAGCATTTTTTTTTTTTTCATTATCTGAAGTTTGCAATCTTTCACCTGGTTTTGGTCCCCAGTTCACCCTCTCAGATTCTGCACCATGAAGAAACTAGATGGAGAGTTTCAGCCTAACACGGCTGCTTAAACAGTCTGTAAAGCTCAGAACCCCACTACTGCTATAAAATCATCATTCATGAGCAACCACCACACATTTCCTTGTAAAAAGTCAATGCTATGAAAAGGAATATCAGTTTTTAAGAAAGAGCTTAATTTTATTCATCCTGGTATTGCCAACACCTCTGAGAAATTCCCTTTTGAAATTACAGTCTCCCAATTCCGTTCATCTTTTCTAATTGTGATCAGGTGGTGACACTGAATGTACTTAAGAAAAGATGTACTTGAGAAGCAACGTACCTAGGGCGTGATTTACTTAAGAAGACCACAAAGGTCTTGTGAAATAAGATATCCTTTGTATATACAAGGCATGCCTTGCTAACAACTGGGCCCCTGAAGGAGAACTAGAAGACTGATAAGAAGGGAACATCCTACCCCAGGAGGCGCGAAGAAGTTGAAAAACTGCTAATAGGCATGAAGTCAGCAAAAATCTTTGATAACTGGAGGAAAGGTAAAGGCGGCAGGGGGAGATCACGACCACCGACTCAATTCAAGACCAAGAGACTTACCCCCTCCCCCCCCGCCTTGGGCATGTGCTGTAGAATAAAAGAACACTGTACCTTTAATTCGAAGCGGGGAAACTTTAGCCCAATAGAAACTGTGCGAGATAAGCGACTACCAGTAATAGTTTTGGGGAAAAACTTTGCAAGTTGAGTATGTATAACTGAACCGTATAAAGTGCTTGCCCATTTAGGCATGAGGTGTGCTAGCTTTGTGGATTACCACCTAGCCCCCATCTTTGCGCAAACATGAATTGGAATAAAATACCTCTGCTCTGTGTGTATATTGGCGTTTCGCACACTGAGAAAACCACCCCACTTGTGGGATAACAACACCAGATCAGAAAAGTGAATCATTTCCACTTTCTCCTTACAGTTATTTCAAACCTTTCTTTCCAGCCTGACTGCAGTGATGCATAGATCATTTGCATTGAAATGCCAATAGCTGTTTTCATGATTATATTTAAAAGGCAATTTGCCTGATTTGTTTTGTTTAATGCACAGATAAATTGGTACCATCTTACCATGTCTTTGAAGCCTCCAAGTATTGCTGCTGTAATGATCCCTAGGAATAGTCCCACTATGTTCAGAATTGTTGCTGACCAAAGCAAGTGGTAAAGGTGGATGATGTCCTGGCAGCTGCTGACATCAATGTATTCATAGTAGCCTCCAGAAATCTCTACTCTGCTAGATTAGGAAAAAAAGCCAACAATAATGATAAAAAAATGCACCTCACATCATAAAACCTAAGCACTTCTGCTGGACAGTAAAATGCATTCTGCAATTTAATGATAGCCTTAACCTAACTACCAAGGGAGTGGAGATAAAGCCTGCTAGATCCCACGCTTCTGGCATCTGAGATCTCCCTGCACAACAATGGCAGAAGAGGGCTTGATCTGTTGTGAAACAAACAAGTCCTGCAAGGCCTGCACATACCCAAATGACCTTGAGCCTAAATCTGCCTCTTACTTCCATCACCCGAAATCTCCACAGATCCTGGAGGCTTCCCAAGGACAAACTGGTCTTGGAATTACCCGGAGAAGTCAGTCCGTGCCCCTCAGGGCAGCACTGGCTCCTCACCACCACAAGATGGGCACAGGACAGCGCAGCTGGGCTCGGCCAAAAAGCACGTCCAACTCAGCTGCTCTGCTCCAGCTGCCTGCGCTTTGTGGCTCTACAATGGCACGGGCTGGCAGGACCCCCGGGACCCTGGCAGAGAGAGGTCCTTCTGCTCACATTTTTAAGCTTTTCCACATGCAGAAAAGAGATGGAGAAAACTCGGCTGAATCCACTTCGGTCATTGTTTTGGAAAGGGAAAAGCGGTTCCCGCAACATGTGGGCTGGAGTCTTGCAGGCGGGATTCTTCAGTAATGACTTCTCTCTGACCATCGTTTGGGGGAACAGGCTGGCCTTCGGCGTAGCCTACCAGATGTCATGGGCTACAGCAAATTCCCCTTAAGAAAACATATTTATCGGGGACAAACAATACTAAGGGCTTACGAATTACTTACCTCCCAGCTCACACACGGGGTTAGGCTCAAACTGCACAAGGGCTTTGAGAAAATGGGGAAAAACAAGCTCATATTAAAGGCCAAGAAGCAGGAGATCCAGGCTCAGCTCCTCAGCAGACTCTGCAAGGCCTGCAGGAACCTGTCCCCTTTCACAAGAGCCGCCTCATTACTCAGTTTCTTCTTTTCCTTTTTTCCGTATCTTCTTGTAGCAGGCCACTGCAGCAGACATTGCAATGAGGCAGGGATTTCAAGCACAATCAAGGCAGAGCATAACCACAGGTTGTAAAAACCTGTATGTTAGCCTGCATGACCTCTGTATAACCTGAGCACATACCATGACTGCCTTTAACAATGGGACCTGTATGTACTGTTTGCAAGAGCTCGTTCCTATGGAGATGTGTGAGAATGTAAAGCTCTCAGAGAGCCTTGGTTTACCACCAAGAACATTTAGCATTGTATGGTATGTACTTATCAACGGGAAGGCGATTGTCTGCTGTGGACACAGCCAGGGTTCCCAGCATTCGGAGGAATGCAAGACTACTGTCATTTTTTCTATAATTTCCATCCTTAGTATGTGAGCTAACCAGCCTTGAGCGTCCATGGCTTTCTTACTGAGATCCCAAAGGAACCAGTACCTCCCTAGTGCAGAACACTTGTGTGGTACTAAGCAAGACTGAGATGATAACAACTGATATCTTATATCAGAGAGGGTAAAATGGGTCAGAGGCAGGACCCTGAACCAGCCTGACTGCTGGGAAAAAAAAAAAAAAAAAAAAAAACCATACAGAAAAGTTACAAATTTTTCTATTCCAGTCACTTCTCTGTGTATCGCTCTCTTCAGCTAGTAAAAAGGGATCGCGTTCTGTAAACTGTCACATAAATGTGTGAGCTTCACTCCGTTGCAGTGGCTTCCACAGAAACAAAGTCCTATGGAGACCAGGGATTACCCTTCCCAGCATGTGGAACCACCCTCTCCCAACAGCAGCTTTTGATCTTCCTCCACCACAGTCAATGATTTAAGTGGGGGCCAGCCCAACTAAGTACTGTGAGAAATGCTAAGCCTGAAACAGCCCTAGGCAAGAGCCAGCACTAAAAAAAAAAAAAAAAAAAAAATCCATTTATTAATCACTTGCTGACACACATTAGGCAGTCCAAATGATATAAGCAGCACATGCTGTAAATTAAGTTGGCTTAGGCACAGTAGCCAGATCTAATGATGGTGTGATCACCACGCAGTAGCTCTCGATTGGTAACCACCCCTCTGACTCATCTTTGCACAGTGCTGGTACACCTTCCAACCTCTTGTGACCATGAAAGATATTCACTGGGCAGAGAGGAGACCGATTTATGAACACACAGGTGGCACTGGCCTGCGAACATTCCTCCCTGTTAGCAGAGTGGGGAATGGAACAGTGACAAGGTGAGGAAGAACAATGTCCTAGTTTTTACATCTTCAGGCTTTGAAAACAAAATAAAACCCAGCGAACAAGCAGTGCCAACAGAGAACGAAGGTGTTAGGACAAGCGACACTCAGGAGGGGAAAAACTGGGGAAGGCACCAAACATGGAAGTAATGGAAACTCCCACCTTCTTCATTTTTCCAGCTGGGCTGGCCCAGAGCATGCTCACCCGTAGCTGGAATGGCTTGAGTGTATTTCATACACCCCTTTACTTGGTTATCTTTTGCCTGGGATTCCCTGTGGCTAGCAACCATAGCTTAAGATCCCTTCCCACAACAGCTGTCATTAGCTGATACTTTGCTCCTGCCCTATCCTGGCCCTTCAGACACCTGCAAACCAGCATGACCACTGCTCACCCTTCCCACGGCCAGGAATGGTGTTTTTAGCTTACTCACTTTCCACAGTTATACAGGTCACAACAGAAGCAGGTGTTGGTTTTTATTTTCGGTGTGCAGGGTGCACGGCGCTGTGGGTGACAGATTGCCTGCGTGAATACAGAAAAAATACATAAAGCACATAAGGACATAATCACCAGACATGGTTTCTGCTGCTAGTTGGCCTGCTCTACGGGTAGATTTTGCACTGATCTCCAGATTAGCCTCAGGCAGACTTTTCTTTCCTTATCTTGCAGCACAGCTCTTACAAAGTACACAGTTATACTGGAATAAAGACGCACTAGACTAGAACAGACCAGCGTTTCCTTTAACCATGGGGAAGTCATAGATAAGCATGTGCCTGCATAGGAAGGGGGGTTGTGCAACTCTTACAAGCAGCCAAGACCTTGCTGAACTAACACTCCTCACCACACAGCAACTCAGGGCAAAGAGTTGTCAGTAGGGTGATAAAAACTGAGAGCAAGATTCCCATATTGGTGAATAACTGACTAAAGCGGTTAATTGTCTGCCTGTGGGTAGTAACACCCAAGCTCACACGGACGGTCCTTGGGCTGAAAAGCAAATGGATCCCACTACCCCACTGGGTAGTATTTACTTTGCACCTCAAGCAGGCATTTTAATTTGGAATATAGTGGTTATTCAAAACTACTTGGGAACTTGTGAGGAAACCTCGGAGAGACTCTCAGTGCACAGCAAAGGCAGCCAAAGATGTCCACACACACTATCGGTATGTGGCAGGAACATCCATTCCCAACAGGCTTCTCTTTGGAGAAGACAATAGACTGCAGAGGTGCAGAGGCTAGTATATGTTGCTTGTATCCACAGAAATTACTGCTGTCTGAACTCTTAACCTGCCACCCTGCTCCTGTAATGAATGCACAGCTGAAGATCTAGAGAAACGTGTCTTTTCCTACCCCCCATCCCCTCCTCTCAACCTGCTCCTTCACTAATGTGGCAGTACCAAGCATGGAGGAATTCACTCCTGGAGTCCTCCCGGCACCCCGCTCCGGCCCCAGGCCCAGCCTCCCACCCCCTCCTCGCTTCGCAGACCTCCGGGACACCAGAGCAGCAGCCTGGCAGCAGGTTCCTCCACCTGCACTGTGAAGCTGGTGCCTTCATGGACACAGCACAGCCAAACCTGCTCTTACCTCCGGTGGGGTTGTACTCTTGGAGTAGTACTGACATCGCCCCGCGTACAGCGGCCTCAGGTCCTGCCAACGAAAAAAGCACCAGGCTTAGCACCGCAGCAAAATCAAAATCAGCTAGCTGGTCTGGGGAAAGGGGCCAGGCTTTGGAGAGACCCTGCTCTCGCATCAGCACCTCAATACAGTGGCTGTTCTGCAGCATCCTCACCCGCAGCAGCCCCCCTGAGCCCCTGGTGATGTTTAATCCTGGTCCTTAGAGGCATGTATTTGTTGCAGCTCGCATGGGAGGAGGAGCAGGCTTTTAAGTCGGGCTTGTTTGGGTGAGGGCAACCACCCTGACCTGAATGATTCATTCCTCATCCCCTCAGACACAACCCAGGCCTGCCTGATGGCGTTTCCAAGGATTCTTCATGCTGAATCATTACACTTTCTCATTTGTTGGCAAATTTGTCTTTCTGGGCTCTTGAGTGGCTTGTGGGAAAGCTCGGGAGGATTACCAGTGGCTCAGCCTAAAAACATGCATTAACGTCTCACTTTGGGGCAGCCTGGTCCCCAGGGCAAAACGTCAGGGAAAGCAATGCCGAATGCGTATCCACACCAGCGAGCCCTTCCCAGGAGCAGCCGGACCTGCTCTCTGGGCATCTGGTTCAAAACTCGGGGTGGCAGGGCAGCGGCTACAGCAGGCGATAGGGGGAACGCTATGTGCTAGCATGGCAGGAGCACGTCTCCAGCAAGACAGTGACATCTTTGGACTGTTAGGGGGTGAAGCGAGGCCAAAAGCATGTCCGTTTATCAAGAGGCAGAAACCAGAGCCCTTGCTGTCCCAACTGCTCAGCTCTGGCTGCCTCAGACACGCAGACATCCCCAGGGCCAGACGGGAGGAGGTGCCAGCTCATGCCATCGCCCGACCATGAGGTCAGCACCTAAAAATCCCAGAGCGAGTCTGCGGGGCTCAGACCCACATGGCCAGGATCAGGAGTCGAAGGCGCTTCACCTTTTTATCAAAGCTAATGCTTTACATGCCCTCACGAGGGGGGTCAGAGATGGCCAAGACTTGCTGGTTGCATCCAGACAGACAGAGACCTATCATGCAGCTGAGCGGAGCTGCCCTTTGCTCTGTCAGCAAATCCTGCCATCCAGCCATCTTTCTACCATTGGAACACTCAGGGGCAGGAAAAGGGAGCTGGCTTTACAAGGAGAATAATGAGCCAGCTGACACGGGGAGTTTCCACTTCATGGGTAATTCTGACCTTCTGAAATTCCTTTCCATTCTGATCACAAATAAACCCCAAATCGATCTTTTTAATCCCATTTTGCAAAAAATTTTAAAAAAAGTCATCAAACTGCAGAGTTGCAGGACAAAAATCTGTTCGCAGTTATAAATTTCATTTAGAAAGTTGAAATGGAATTGTGTTTTTTCATTTCTATACCAATAACTGAAGATTTTGCACGTCCCACTGTACTAGCAATTGGTCATGACAGCAGTAGCTCGTATTTTTTAAGTCATCTAATGGAAACTGAGAACCTACTGCAAGTGCTTCCTGTTTATACTGTAACGCTTTAACGAGCTTCGTATCAAATTGCTTAATGCTACTACAACATCCAGTGGTTTAATCAGCAATAAGAACTACCTCCGCTAACGTTAAAAATACAACAGATGTTACTCCTCATATATTGTCTCTTGGCAATAGCTATAATTCACATTACATCTTACAGTTTTGAGACTCAGTAAACACATAAAGCATACACAAAAAAACTAAAGCAAAGTTTTAAGATCTTAATGCTTGCTGCTAATTTCAAAATATTTTTGAAAAACTGATACATTTTTCTAAAGTTTATGATTTAAAACAGCATTCAGCACATGACATATATTTATAGGGTTTGATGTGGCCTGATATGGGATTACGGACACCATCACTTGTTTTCCTAGAGGAAAAGCATCACAGGACCTGTGTTTTCCTGGAAGCACTTACTATGTGTCTGGCAGCAAAGACACCGTCTACTATGGCACAGCAGAACGCAGCAATGACGCCAAAGCTGATGAAGACGATCGATGCAACCAGCTGAGAAAGGAAAACAAAGCAAAGTATCATCTGCCGCTCCACAACCAAGCATTTCGTGCCCTCTCCGCAAGGATACGTAAACCACAGTCAATAAGCCCTCAAGCAATCAATGACCCAAATGTTTGCCCAGGCTGCACAGACTGGTCTCATTGAAGGCAATGGGATGTGCGTCTCAAAGGAGAGCGTCCGCTCCTGCAAGGCGGCGGGAGCAGTAGCCTTGTGCCAGACTGCTTCTCTGGGGACTTGATATTGTAATGCAAGTTTTTCCGTGACTCCAAAGCGCTAAACTTAGGCTGAGGATATGCTTCCTCTTCTGGCTGCTGCTGTCCTTAACTCTTCCCTGGAGAGAAAGAAGTGGATTTCTTCTCTCCCCATCCTGGAGTGCTGTGGGGAGCTGCTCCTTGTGAACACTTCCCAGGCTGTAAGGACACAGGAGACTGCTGTATGGAAACCTCTCTGGTAGGACTACGCCTTTAGGAAACAACGCTTTCATGCAGGCATAAACACAAAGCCACGAGACTAGAAGACAGGTGACCAGCCCACGCCACCGGTGTTGTACACCCGCACGGCAGCCTGACTGGGCTCCTCAGTGCCGGGCTGTGGGGAACGCAGTCCACAGGTCCTCCTCCCACCTTGGAGCTGCAAGGAGAGAGACCTCTACCTTCAGCTCAAGGAAGAAAGTCAGACAGGTCTGATCCTCTTCCACTGGCCCCATCCTGCCCATTGTTAAAGTTAGGGTGAAAGCATTCAGAAGGTAAACCTGAAATACTCAAACCCCAACCCAGGTATGAGAAACAAAGTCTCTACTCCCGCTACGCCACTTTAAACACCACCTCTGCCAAAGTACCAGTGCTCAGCTGGGGGAACCACGCACGAGTGCTGACATGACCCGTCTCCTTGCTCCCGAGCAGCAGCTCAGCCACTGCCAGCAGGGTCCAGACCAGTTCATCACACACAGAGCTCCCAGTACCGACCCCAATCCCCCTCGCCAAAGCACATCGGTGATATCAACAGGGCTGCGCAGGAACGGCAAGCATGGCATTCAAACAGACAGGTTCACAAAGTCATAGCTTGGGGAGCAGCAGTATTTCCATTTAAAGAACTGAAAGCTTTATTGGGTTTTTCCCTAGTGGTTTTCCACTCCAGCGATCACAGCCTTCAAGTGTTGGTCGCTGGCAGCTGTTAAAAACTGCTTCCCCACAAGTACAAAGGTGACTCTGGTCATTGGGAGCTTTGAGCAATAGTAAAAAATCGCTAATAGCACAACACAAATGTAACAGCTTGGCCAACACTGACAGATATCTTGGGTCTCCTGGCATGGGGATGTTTGTTTTAAAGCTCCAGGTGCTAAGTTTGCTTGAAAACCTTGGTTCCTGCCACTGCACCAAGATCCAGTTCTCGGAAAGACAAGCCAAACCCCTTGACAAACACAAGCCAGAAGGATCCTATTTTTAAAGTATGTCAGGATTTTTAGGTTAATCACACTGTTTTTACCTAAACCTCCTTCAGTGAAAACAGACCTTCCTCCAGCAACATCCACATGCAGACCAGGTCAGCTTGAGCAAGGACTGGAGAGGCAGGAGGGCTCACCTGGGACAGCCGAAATGGTCCCTGTACAATTGCTTACTTCAGTTAGCTTCAAAATGAGAGAAAATAAAATGGTTTTCTAGATGAGGCAAGCATTCAAGATGTACACTGTCCTATTGCAAATAAAAACCGCAGCAGTAGGCAGAGCAGACTGTGAAATTAACCCAATGACCACAAATACAAACAAGTCACGGTCACTAGTAACAAGCTGTTACTGGAATATTAGATGCTGTGCCACGAAGTACTTGCAGATGGCAGCAGGTGACAAGTTTTCCAGGATCAGGTCCTATGCTGGGATCCTGTTTCTGTCAGCTGTAAACACCAGCATGTCCTCCCCACTCAGACCCATACCATCTCCACATCTGGATCACAACTTGCACTGTCCGTTACAGCAATCACACTGTTTCACTACACAACCAGTGAAACCACACAAGGGGAGAAAGCACGGCTTCTTACAGTCTTGGTGGAAGAAATGGGTTTTACGGCTTAGGTTATTTTGTAGCGAGTTTAGTTTTTCTCTGTAGTGTCCTTTGTTTCATACATACATGCAGGAGGATATTCTCCCTAAATAGCATGACCCTTGGAGATGGGAAGTGAGCCAAACACTAAATATATACAATTAGGGTATTTGTCGGTCACCCCGCTTGCAGATAGGAGCTGCTAATATAGTTATTTAAAATAATACAAGGTTAATGATGATACTTTCGTAACAGCCCTACTAGGATATAAGGAACTGGTGTTAGAAATTGATTTGTTCACTTTATTTACACAACAGTTTCTCTCAGCTGGAGAAAGAAAAGCCTGAAAACCAAACACTGAGAATTTATGATAAAGAAAATCAAACAGCAAATAAAACCATATAAATTCATTTAAAAAATCCCACGGTTTTCAACAAATCTTATGAATTGCCAATAAGATTCTTGATTTGGTGTTGACAATACTGTTACTGTAGCAAGCAGAAGTCCCTCTCAAGAGCTGTGTGATATCAGTGACTGGTCTTCACTCATCTAACTCCTGCCGAAGTCAGCCACACCGAGTAGCGTTTGGACACGAAAGGACAAACTGGGTTCAGATAGTGCAGGAACCACGAAGCAGAAGTGTCCTGGGCTGAGGTTCCCTTCAGGCCACGGTCCAGCAACACATGGGCTGTGAAGCTGTTGGTTATTACTTTTCCATGGCACGGACAACTGTCACGAAGGCACGTAAAATGCTGACTCCTCACTTGAAAACTGCTGAGCGGGCAGCTCGGGTGTAAGTCAGAGCTGCCTGCGGCGCTGGCAGGCGGGCGATGCTGGCAGGCTGGCGGGCAGTGCCGCCGGGCAGCTGGCCCTCCCCGGGGGCACGAAAGCTCTCCCTTACTTTGACAAGTGGGAAGCGCAGACCTGCGTCATGAAAGCCAATACGCTCGGGTGGGAAAAACAAGAGAGGTCTATTCCTGTCGGCAGGCTGGAGAGAAGTCAGGAGTGCTGCTTTCAGGGTAGCTCTCCCCGTCAGCCACCCTGGCGTGATCGACTCCTCGTGCTCCCCAGCCACCTTATGGGCAGAAACACACACAAGAACACGGCAGCAGAAGTTGCTTTTAGCTCTTCCTGCCATCACTGAGGAGCAACTGCGTAACAAGCAACACCAAGACTGACTTTTAGCGAACTAGGACGCTGGGGAAGTTCACAGAAGATAACAAAAAAAAAATCCTGCACTGCCAGTGGTATTATGGAAACAGGTAATGGACAAAGCTGCCACCGTAAAGTGCTCCTAGGCAAGGAGGAGATATGACTAAAGCACGGGGACAATAAATGACAGCTACTGCATGTCCTCTCTGCGGTCAGAGCAGAGACATGCTAGATGCCAACCAGTGACGCAATCCCTGCAAAGCTGGGTCATGCATGCTTTTTAGGACACAAAATGATAGAGAGATGAAAAGAACGAACACAGGCTACCCAGGGCTCTTCAGAATAAACAAACAAGTCAAGTCAGAGCCACACTGTCACTCATGAGCACTCCTGTGACGAACGCAGGACTGGCATAACATGGCCATTGCTCAACCAGACTCTGACATGCTGCTAATACATGATGAGCAAGAGGCTTGGAAACCCTGCTAGGACAGAAAGAACAGGACATGTCGCTCTTGCAGAGCCAGGGTGAAAACAACAAAAAATATCCACTGGGAAACCCACCTCCCCTGCACCCTGTCTGACTGTGGGAAAGGCAGTTCTCCTTTCCTACAGCGCCTGCCTCACTCTCTCCCTCCTGCTCTGCAGGGAACACGCTATTTGCAAAGCAAAGGGCAAGGCAGCCCAGCCCAGCCTCTGAATTAGGACAAGCAGGAATTTCTCCCAACTCCCTCTGCAGCTTGGCAAACATGCCTTAGCCTTGGTCAGCAGCACACCCTGCTAATCTGACCCCTGATTCCCCCTGCAGAGGCAGCTCCATCCCTACAAAAACAGGCAGCAGCGCTGGGCCAGCGGCCCAGGCTGCAGGGACGCCACGATCCCCCCTTGGCCCTCTGCAACCTCCTCCGAGGAAGGCTGGAGGGATCTCGCTGCCAGAGCGTGGGGCAACCACGGGGGAGGTGGATTGCAGCCGCTCTCCCGGGAGAGCCAAGCGGAGGCAGGAGGCCGGCATGCCCGCAGGGCACTCCAGGAGCTGGACTTACACCACCCCACGTGCTGCCTCTAGCCAGCCTCATACGGCAAGCAGAGAAAACAGGCTAGGAAAGATTGAGCTGGACAGCCTGCCAGGACCGCATCAGATACCAACTTCTTTTGATCTCTCTCTACCCACACCTTTTGCCAAATTCTCCCAAAAGAATTTCCCCCCAACCTAAGCCCTGTTACTGACACCTCCAAGCACTACAGCCCCTACCTTCACGCACAGGCTGAAGTTTGTGAAACAGCATCTCCAAGGCATGTTTACAGGCCATGAAAGACCCAGCCAAGCCCACACAAGTCTCCTGTGCTTGCCAAAGGGAGTAATCTGGGACAGCTCTGTCCCCACTGCACAGAGACATCCCCCTCCTACCCCAACACAAGCTCAGTTGTGATCATATCGTATCAGCAGCGCTGGTCTCATCTGGTTTGTGCTATCTGCATGTTCACTGCCCACCTGCTCTCTTCTGAACGTTGCTCCCATGGGATGGGACACCAGAGACCTGCCGACAGCGGCCACCCAGCCCCAGCACACAGAAGCCTCCTTGCAGCGCAAGAAGGGAACCAGAGAGCGCTGTGGTCCACGCATCTGGTCTAGCCAGCATCTTCTGTGCTTCTCAGGTCCCCAGCCGCTGCTTTACAGCATGCAAAGTTTCTTGGTTTTCCTTCCTACTTGAAGAGGTGTTTGGAAACGAGGACCAGCAACATGTATGTTAATCGGCAGCACTGGCGAAGTTGGTTGCTTTTCAATTACACCAGTCTTCATACTTTTTGTCATGTCGGTATCTCGAGTGACTTATTCTCTAGACGTATCTAGAGCTGAAAGCTCTGAGCACTCCTGTCCCCGGGAAGGACTTACTGCTGGGCCCTCTAAGGGCTTTCACCTCCAGTCTCTGGGCTGGCTGTTACACCACCTGCTTGATCTTCTCTATCCTTTGCTTAGAATAGAAAGTGGCCAACAGCAATTTTTGCAGAGCCCCAAGCCTCTAAGAATTTATTTTAAGAGATTTAAAATAAATTTATTATGTTTATGTTATTTACCATATTATGCATCACATACTGTGACTGCTCAACAGAAAAAGCGCTGGACATGAGTCTGTAAAGCACTGACTATCCTGAAACTCCAAACGCTCAATTTCAAGCCCTTTAAAAAATTCCCACTGAGTTCAATGAGACTGTGTATAGTCACTTTGTGCTTCCTTGAGTGTGCCTTTTTTTTTTTTTTTTTTTTTTTAATTTTTAAAAATATCAGGGTTAGCAGCCTTGTTCTCCTGGGCTGTCAGAAACCATCTCTAGTTCTCAAGAGGTATGCAACACTACCCTGGAAGAGTTAGGAAAAACACTAATACTCTTTACATACAAAATTTGAGTTACTGTCATTTTTTAAAAAAAGTTTTTATAATGAACTTACCATTTGCCTTTTGTTTTCTATCAAGTTTGATCCAATTATTCCAAGAAACGACCCAAAACCAAGCTGAAAAACAACATATTGTTAGCATTTAGATCAGGATGATATCCAACATACTTTACATACAGACAGAACACAATTAAATCCAGAAGCAGCAAAAGAACATACTGCGGATGTGTGAGCACTCTTCCTTCAGCAAGGAATCAGTGGAGTCTCTCACTAGCAGGAGCTAACAAGTGTATCCCTTATATGACAGTAAAAGCGTGTGTAGAAACCAAAAGGATGAGCTCTGAATTCCCTCCCCAGTGATGCTGAGAAATGGCTGGTGGATGAGGATATGCATTTTTGTCTTGGAACAACCCTACAAACACTACAGGAGCCTCCAGATGCAAACCTGGCAGGACCACACCACTAGTATCTGCAGGACCAGGCTTTTGTAACCTCACCAAGGGTGTGAGCAATCACCTAAGTTTTCAACTCAGAGAGTTTCCTGATGTGAAGTATGAAATAAGGGAGAATTATACTCAGGAAGATTTAGCAGTTTTCTGCCGCCTTCTACTCCTCCCTCATTTCCAGGGGTAAGGATGCATCAACAAGGGTCTTCTTCTACCAGAAGAGCTCACACCAGCCCAGCCAACAGAATAAGCTACTCCAGCAAAAACATCTTCTCTTGCTGCCATAACTGACAACACCGTTCTTATTCCAGCTCAGCGAAGTCAGCCAGGACTGCAATTTCCCACCTCCTTTCTCCATAGCCTTAAGCTATTTTGCTACACTAAATAGAAGTTTCTAGGATAGAGCACACGTCAGCCAGGCCAGAAACAGGAACTTCAACCAGGAACCATGGACTACGGGGGGAGATGCAGAAGTACTTCTGTGTCACACCGAGAAAGGTCTTTGATCGGTGGAGAGCATATCCAACTTCACTTCTACGGGTTGGCAAAACGAGAAATGCCAGAAGAGTGCTACAGTTGAACTGGTCCTATTAAGCAGGTACAAATCCAGTCAATAGACTAGGGAGGCAGTGAAGATCCGGGTGAGAATGCCAAATAACTGGCCAGCTCCTCAGGAAGCAGAATAAGGCATGAGACTAGCTGCAGTGATTCAAGAATGAGTCAACTAACCTGGAATCGATACTTTAAGATCCAGGAATAGAAAACAAAGGCTTAATAAATCCGATACTAACAAGCAGAGGCACGTGCAGAGATTAGCAGACACAAACGTGATGAGAAGTTGGGCTTAAATCTTCCCCCGCTCTGCTTAAACCCAGTAACATTTGGTGCAGTGCCGCGGGCAGCGAGGGCTGCTGGCTCAACCGGCAGGGATTAAAGCGGAGCAGCCGATCGGGCTGCTGCTTCCCAGCTACCTGCCTTGCACTCCGAGCTCTTGGAGACTGTTGTCCCCACATCAGGGACAAACTACCACGGTGGGAAGCACAGCAATGAAGCCAGGTGGTGCTGAACACTGGGGCAGCAGGCTGGCAGGGCAGAGAGCCAGGGGCACCGCTGAACTGCCCCACGCTGATCTGCCAGTGCTTCTGGGCTTATTATTTTGCTCAGCTTGGGCAGAAATCCCTACCTTCCTCAGGTAACAGGAGTTTTACAGCTCAATTCCAAGCCCCAAACCTGGGAGATCCAGGCATTATTTCCAGTCTGGTGATGTTTAGCAGCAAGGAAGTTGGGTGGCAACACACACCTAAGGCAAATAAATGCTCAAGAAAAATGTTTTGTGCTCTTTGAGCATGATCCAGCACGTTTGAGAGGAATGTCCATGTGGTGTTCCAGAGCAGCTTCAAACTAGAAGGTGAAATACTTAAGATAATTAAAAAAGAAGAAATTAGAGCAAGTCTGTACATCCAACAGGTGAAGACCAAATAAATCAGTGGATTCTCACTAATTCATGGGAATTCTCATTGCATTAATGGGAAACCCACTCGTTCTTCTACAGATGGGACAAAGAGATCTTAGTAATCTGCATCAACTGCATCACTTATTTGCTGGTAGATATGATCCCCTGAGATGTCTGTCTGAAAGGAGGACAGGACAAAAAATGAACATGCTTTTCCAGAGTAAAGCTCCAGGACAAAATGCTTGACAAGGAACCATTACAGAAGAGGTTTGCCAGTCAAAGCCTAAGAAAGGTCAGTCCTTTACATAGATGCTGGAAGCTGGTATAACTTGGAGACAACACACATATCGCACAGAGCCTCACTTCCATAAGGGTGCTCGCCCTCTGCACCCGATCGTTACTCTTGTCTGCTGAGCATCGCTGTTACACTCTGGGGTTCCTGGGCTCAGGTCAGTCATCCAGCCACAGGTGAGAATATTTCCTACAGAGGCAGAGCCAGGGTGTTCACAGATGTAGTCGCGGAGGTGTCAGTGGTCACAGAAAAGGGTGAAGACTGCCTGGCTACAGGACATGACACTGCACCCTCTGCTGCAGCTCCTCTGGTTGTGTCAATGAGGAACTGCACTGTTTGGGGAAAAAAAAAAACCAAAAAACAACAAGCCCCCCAAAAACCCAACCAAACAAAATCCCACTGATGTGTGGAAGGTCTCCAGCTCCTGGTTCTGTCCTTCCTCAGGAGCAGAGGCCTGGGAATATAATCCCCCACATCAGACAGCCACTTCTTTGCATGTTTCCTCCTTGCACAAGAGGTGTTTGCCCAAGACACACAAGTTAAAGGAGGAAAGAACGGTGCATTAGGCATGGCAGCAATGAGACATCTGATGTCCCACGAGATGATCCCATCCATGGATCTGGTCCACACATGGAGAAGTCACCCAGCACACAAAGAGGCTTCTGGCTCCGTCTTTTCCTTACCAATGCAGGGTACTCAGGGTATGACTAATGGTGGTGCACCACCAACGGTACACAGAAACCCCTGATGGAGATGCACGCAGGCCTAACATCCGTGTGAAGTTCTGAATGACAAGACCTGCAAGGAGCTGCTTCTTCAGGGCTGTGGAAGCCACCTGCTCGGGGACAACTCACCGAGCACTCATGCGCCACAGCAAGCCCTTTCTCCACAGTAAAGGGAGAAATCCCAACTTGTTACGAAACATCAGCTATTTTAAGCACCTGCTGAAGCATCCAGCAGCACACTGAAATGTTTTCCTGTGCAGGGAGACAGGCGAGGTCATCACACATATCTGCACAATGAACTAACTGAGGGGGGGAATTTGGTGACAAACACAAACTGTCAGGGTGCCTTTGCATAACGTAACTCAATGCCCTTCCCAAGTCCAGGAATTCATTAATTCCTTGAGTAGACTGAGTCTTAGAAAAGCGTAAGCAATGCTGACGTTCCCAGAGCATAAATAGCATGGGAGATGTCAAGGGGACGTGAACAACAGGCTCTACCCATCTGCATCAGTCTGCAGGACCTGCTCTGAAGCACGAGGTTCAACTCAGGCTGACAGAGCATAGGCTAAGTGCAGAGAGTTTGAAGCCAGCCTGTCACCTCTCTCAACACCTTCCCTTCTATGCTTCTCTTTAAAAAAGATCAGGCCTAAATGCAGGAATTACTGGGACAAGTCAGAAAACCAATGCTAAACCGAAGGGGCCCAACACGGTCTGTAACGATGTTCCACACTAACGGCTGTAAAGAGGCTTTCTTCAGTGACAAAAGAGCTTGTCCACAGAGAAGTATACACATCCCTGACACCAGCAATGTGTGGCAAATAAATCAAACTGCAATAAGACAAGAATGAGTCTCCATCTAGTTATCTGGACTGGCTTTAAGCCTCCAACTTGGAGGCTCCAAACCTAAGCACCCAGCACTCCACAGCTGTTACACCAGCAGCCTCTTGCTGGGGGCCTGCAGTTACACTCCACCTGCTAAGACACCTAATTTGGCTGCAGCTCAATCCTTTTTGTGCTTCTTTTTGAGCATGTCTCAGACATGCACAGGAACAGACCAGGACTTGCCTTCCAGCTCGTGTTAGACCTCTGCTCATGCCAGGAGGGGCATGATGTACTTGCCCCTTATGCTTCTGCAGGAGGCTATACATCTACTGGCAAGAAGGCTGGACACCAGCAGTCTTCTCTAAATTAAGCCATTTGAAGCTACAAGATTGTCCTTTCCCATTTTCATCTGTTGATAACAAAAAAGAAGAAATGGATGTGCTAACTGCTTTGATGTGCAAGCTCCCCTGGCAAGCTGCCACAGCTATTGCTAATGTGTTTCTCCTCATTCAAGGACTCTGAATCATTAAAACACTTCTGCAAGTGAACTTTATGACCACAAGTTCACATGAACAGTATTTCAAGACCTGGTCTCTCAATAGTTCTTGGCACCTATGGTCCTTCTTTGCCTTACTTCTGCCCAGGGTTAATGTGATGTATGCAAACAAAGAAGTTCTAAGGTTGCTTTGACTGACATAAGATCTATTTATCTGTCTCACTGTCAGCTCGAAAGCATGTTATTACCTAAGCTCAGAGGAAGCTGCCACTTGGATGGGATTTTTGCATGGGAATGAGCAGCAGGTGCAAAATAATAATAAAACAAATAAATCAAATGGCAATGAAGTAGCTGAGCATAATATTCAGGACAAGATCACCCTTTATAACATTGCAGCATTACAAGGGACTTTGTAGGCAATAAGTTTTCTAGACCTACCTAGGAGTTCTATACTTACAATAACCCCTGGGTAATAACCTCCAACAGTCACATTTTGGGTTCTTGTTGTAGCAGCTAGGCCCACCGTTAGAATTAATACTGACACAATGAGGAGAGTCACAGTTACGTAGAGGGAATTTCTTTTTCTTCTATTGAACGACCCTAAAAACACACATACACAACAGAATTTGCTGATTCCATATGGGGACAGTCACGGTACCGCAAATTTCTCCTCCCACCGCCAACGACATCGTGGTGAATTTTCTTCTAACTTGAGAATATTTTGGGGTTTGGCTGTCACTTTTCACCTTCACTAACATGCTTTATCAAGCGTTACTAGGGCATCTGAATTCACATTTACTTATCATTGCTCTGACATAGATGAAAAGAGCCTTAAGAACTGTAACTTTGCAAAGCTCATTTGGATACCTTGGAGGCTCCCAGGCCCTCTGCCCTGGGGCAACTGAGCTAATGAGAAATATTACCATTAGGCATTTATGTATTTTCTGATCTGTCTACTTACATCAAGCTAAATAACCACACTGTATGCCACTTGTTTTGAGGGGGGAAACCTTGGCTGCAATCATACCATAAGGCACGCACAATTTTCTATGTAAATGAGACATCACCAGTAACAGCCACTTCTCCTCCTCCTGTAGTATCATCCTCTACTTTCAGCAAGGACCAGGTATTTTTAGATGCCTGAATAATGAATTTGTGGATTAGTAAAACTCATCTACAGCTGCCTGATCATGGTTTTTTTCTTTTATATATTTATAGATCTCCCAAATGAGCATAAATATAAAATAGTGATTCCATCAGCCAAAAGGAAAGCTGGCTGCGACGTTACGCTCAGCAACATCTTTAGGCGTGTTTGTTCAGCCTGTGCTCTGCCATCTTTACATCACTTTGTGGAACAATCCTTTTGATTATATTTCATACATTATGTAGACATAACCCAGCACCTGCGAGAGCGGCTGGTAGGATAATGGACCATAATGGTCCCCTGCCGCCCTCCCTGGGGGCTGCTGGTGCCACCCTGAATCCCATCCCCGCAGCCTGGGGCTCTCCAACGCACCCTGGGAGCAGGCAAAGGTAATTCCCACCCCAGTGGCTCCCAAGTGACGTGCATGCTACCTGCACTTCTCAGAGTGTTTCGGAGAAGGGCAGGGACATGTCCCAAGAGCAAGGAGCTGCTTCCACCATTGCTGAGCGTATTCCCTAAAGCAAATCATGTTGGGAACCCCCATCTGAGGTGTTCAGGGGCTCTCTGACAGCCTGTATGTGGCAAGACAAAACACCTGCAGAAAGGCTGGGAGGAAAGACTCAGCCAAGCCAAGCACAACCTCCTTGTCCAAATTTTCCAGAGAAAGGAGCACACCAGGCCTCACTGGGCAGCTTTCTGTCTTGAAGATGTACACCCCAGGTGCCCACAGGCCCTTCTTGAGGGTCTGCACATACTTGCAGCACAGCTAGAGAGATCTTTTCACCCTACCAGCTATACCGATGAAGCCATACGGACACACACTGGTACAAATTATCTTCCTTCCTCCGCAGGGTCAGGTCTCCCCAGGGAAAAGCACAGCAGCTCCCCGCTGCTCCTCCACACCCACTCCCACCGGGCCCACCAGCTGTGCTGCTGGCAGGAGCGCTCCCTCTCCGTGCCGGTCCACGCTCTGGGCTGGCACAGCTGGCGTGGGCAGGGGGCTGGATCATTTCACCCACACCAACCAGGGGAGCTTGAAATCACAGACGAGTCCTGAACTTGGGGCCTAAAAGCCCAACACAACAAAATGAAAGGCAAAAGAGGTTTATAAAGAAAAGTAGCATCCTTTTTGACGGACCAGTGTCTCTGGAAGGAAAGCGCTCCACCAACAAACCTGCTCATGTCCCAGAGCAAAGCTGTGACCGCACCACTGGGACATCACCGGGTCTAACAGCAAGGACCTTAACAGTTATTCCTTAGCTGGAATGAATAGCTACAGTTACTAGTTTCAGACAAAATAAAATTAAATAACTGCTAGAGAACCCTAAGATCCAGGCTGGATCTTTTATCAGTGATCCTTAGTTTTTCATGCCATTTTTTATAAGATGGAGATAAAGGTACCCAACTGTTTGCTGCAGGTTGCGTTTGGGGTTAATATTTTTATTCTCCTAAGTCTGCCAAACAAGTTAATAATATAAAATCTAGACTTTTAAAGCGTTCAAAATTCATCAAGATATCAAGCCATTCTGTATGTATTGCCTCCCAAATACTGGGAGCTTGTGCCATGCTCCAGTTCCAATGTAATCATTTAAATGCAAGTGTCACATAAATGTCTTAAAATTCCAAAGTACTGGGACCAAAGGTTTAGCTGAACAAAACTTCAGAAATGGGAGAAAAAATTGCTACTTCTTACATCGATTAGTTCTGAAAGGAGGGAAAGAACGAACCTGTATTGCTTACACACATGCTAGATTACCAAACTTCTGATTACTGCTGCAGTCTGGCTGGCAAATGAGCAGAAGATAAGTAAAACCAGCCGTATGTTCCTTACGCAGTTTGAACTCTTTATGGTTAGGCTGTGTGGGTGCGCAGATGTTTGCGTGCCATGCAAAACCACCCTGCAGAGCACATCTGAGGGAGCGTCGTGGGTACACGAGCGTGACATTTAGGGTACACGAGCATGACATTTACCCACACAAACCGGTATTCCGGCATTTCCATCAGAGGTGCTTCAAAAAGTTACAATGAAAAGACCTGCAAAATGTGCTACTTCGTTCAAAACCAGAGTATTCTGTAATAGCATTTCTGCAGGAAAAGAGTCTAAAAGCAGCAGCTTGAGACATTGTTTATGGATTCTGAACTTGTTTCAGAACCACCATGTTTTCTACTCTTACATTTCTACATACATTGTTTCCCAGCTCACAACTGGCACACATCAACATGCAATACAGAAGTGAAATGAAAGGTTTCCAACTGGAAAATTTCTGAAAGCGTTTCAATATTCCTCATAAGATTAAAACAAACAAACAACAAACCAAAAAAAAACCAAACAAAAAAATGCTTTTATTCCAAGTCCTGACAAAACCAACCATAATCCTTTAACTTGATACTGGAGAGAGAGATGCGAAATTGAAGAGATAATGTGATTACCTCCGCTTCAGCTCTGTACTGGGACACTAATTCCATTTTTCTTTCTCTGAAAACACGTTTTGTTACGTGTATATTGAGAAAGTGTTTTTGTATTTCTGTAAGGATGCCTGCAGCGGCTTCAGCATACATAGACGCATACTCAGTATCTCCACTGATAGCTGCTGAAGGGCTGCCCTGGCAAAATCCTCTCTCTCAACATTAATTTTTGCTGAAAGTACTCCCCATTAGATCATTTTCCTCTTTGCTACTGAGCGAGGTACAGCTTTACACACAGAACTGGAGCTACGACAGCTTTGCTATCTCTGCTTTTAAGAGACAGGAATAGCCTTTTCTCTGTGATTTATCCAAATTAGAGACCTCCAAACTTGCAGTGCTTACCTCGATGTGAGTATACAAGGTGGTCTGAAACACTGTGCTTAACTCTGTGAGCAAGATGTAAAGAAATTACTGCTACCTATAGTCTGGCTATTTCATTTGTTAAAATGGCACTCAGAAGGTGGACAGGCTTCAGAAAGCTCATTCTTATTTTAAGCCTCAGAAGCATCTTCTTATTACAGTTGCCATATAAAAGCCCACTATAAAAACAAGGTTGTAGCAGGTTTTTCCAGATCACTTTAGAAGTTTGCAATAATACGTATCTTCGTCCTGCACCTGATTTACTTAAGTTTTTTCCCAATTATCGGAAGAAAACAGACAAGATGGCACAGAAACAGCACCGACTTCTCCATCTTGTTCTCTGGGGGGGAAAAGCCCCAAGCAAAGAATAAATGCAAAGTAATCCGAGGAAGACAGCTTTAACTTCCACCCCAGGAGAACCGGGGGGGGGGGGCCAAACGGCACCGAGCCGCTCTCCTTCCCAGCCCTTCTCCTTTTGTGCCACTTCTCTGCTAAAAAAGCATTCGTGTGCGAGCTGTGACCCAAACCGCACTCGAATTAAGGGCCCTGCTGGCAGGTCCACGGGACGGGACGGGACGGGGGGTGGTCTGCAGGCATCTGGGTGACTCGCCTCCTGCTTGGATGGCTGGGGAAATTGCAATTAGCGGCCGGTACGAGGGAGTCTCTGACCTAATTAGGGAGAGTGCAGGAGCGGTGCGAGGGGAGCGGGCGCGCCCTCCCGCCCCCGGGGCAGAAGGATGCTGCGCCACCCGGGGGCTGCGTGGGGCCGGCGGCTGCCTCCGCCCCACTGGGGGGGGGG